TTGTAATTTAATAAACAAAATATATAGTTATAAAACTAAATGGTTTATAATACTTAGAAAACTAACGAATATAAAGAAAATTATAGAACTATTTCTACTTTTCAAAAAATTCGCAAAACTGTACAAATAAACTTAGAACACAACAAAGAGGTGATATGTAATATAATGGAATCTAAATCAAATTTAAAATGAAAGGTTACTTTTAAAATTGGAGACTGTATCAAGATTCCGGTTCAAAAATTGATCGATCTAATACTGATCGGAAATTTTTACTTTGTAAGGTTTACCTTGTAAGGTATTGGAGGTTCATCAAAGAAGGGTATTATAAATTTGGTTGTGCTAATGGTATCTTGTTTTTGTGCATGTGATATTTAATTGTTAGAATCATCCGATTATTCTGAATTATCTTTCTAAACACAGTGCTTGTGGTAAAAATAATCTAAAATGTAGTAATAGATATCACGGCGGAACAATATGGCCTGCTAAAATAAATAAGCGTAGCATTATTTATGTGTTATTTATCTTTATATATATTTACATATACGTAGCGGTAAATAATATATTTTTTTATATTGCATAAATGTATCGTTTGCATGTAATAATTTACTTCGATCAAATTGTTTGACTCCAATTAATTTGACCGAGTCAAATTAATAAATTTACATGGATTCAAGTTTGATTATAACTCAATCTAAAAACCAACTTGACTTGTAACATATCTATATTTAAATTAGGCCACACAAACTTATACTATCGATTTTCATATCACCAACTAACCTTCTTTTATTTAAAAATTTATATGACAAAAAATTTTTTTAATAATGGTATACATTTTTACTGAGCATGAAAGGTGATCTATCACTTCATAAAATTAAAAGCACTTTACGTAATCTAAAATAAAATCAGAGTGCGTAGCTGCGCAATGTAATCGTGCTTAAACCAGGAATGTAGTATGATCGCTAGATTCGTACGTACGTATTTAGTGACTGTACTCGTCAACGTGGGATTCGAGTAATTCTAATTATAAGATTTAACTCGTGAGTTATTCGCAAGCTAATTATAGCGATAGTAATTATAGTGTAATTACGTATGAAATTTAAAATTAATTAATGCATTGTGATTGCATTATAAAATTTGTAATTAACATAGTTTATAATTACGTAATTGTAAAATTCTATAAAATAAATTCTTGCAATTGCGATTTTTTAAATAATCAATTCATCGTACAAATATGGAGCAAAACAAAAGTGAAAGAAGATCTTGATCCAGAATTAGTGGGCGAAATGCAATTTTTTAAAAAAATAAGGATTTATTATTTGCTATTATCATTATAACCAACTATATACTTTATATTTACTTTTTATTGTAATTTGCAATTTGCAATAAATATATTTAATGCATTAGCTTTTCTTTTTATATAATTCGTGATTTGAAATCTATTTATTATATTGGGATGTGCTTTTTATTGTAATTCTCAATTTGAAATATATTGTAATTCTCAATTTGAAATATATTGTAATTCTCAATTTGAAATATATTGAGTGCATTATCTTTGCTTTAAAAAAAATAATTCGAACATATAATTCGAATGTCCAAGTGTGGTGACAAACTTTCTAATATTTGTAAAAATATTACCAATTATCAATTATCTTATGCAAAGTTATTATCTTATCAATTGATTAAACTTGTGGTGTATGTATGAACGAAAAATCAGAATTAAATAAAATTGATTCAATCATACGCAGGATTTTAAGTTTACTACATCTGCTATCCGTAGCCTACATAGCTTGCGTATGATCCTTTGAGTAGTTTAAGTAGTTTGAGTAGTGAAGGGTAACTTAATCTTATCTCACATAAGATACCTAATATAAAATGGTAGGTGCAGTTTAGAGTGACACCTATAATAAAATAAATATTAATTAATTACGTATAAATTTGGGACACTTGTGCAAATATATAGGCTATATAGCAAATTATCACACAGGCTAGTAGCTTACGTAGAATTTTTAATAATTTTTAGTACTAAAATTTGATCAGCATTAAGTAGTTCCGAAAGAAAATGAATGGACGTAAATCGTGATTAAAATTGAGTAAAGTTACAAAATATTTAGAGACCTTGCTAGCGTCAGAATGGAGTAGCATATACTTTTGCTAATTTGTTTAAAGTAGTAATAATAAATGCTTAAATCGTAAATGAAGTGTGAAGAGAAAGCTACTCTAGGATCAGAAAATTTTGAATATATATAGAATTATAAATACAGAAATATCGAATGAACTAGTATTCCGAACAGATCGACCCGAATGTCCCGAAACTGTTGTTTTTATTGATTACGACCTATATAATTGAGGCCCACCAATAAATGCAACGGTATGCAATGAATTTTGTATTTGAAAACTGGTGAGTTGATAGATTTATGTGTAGGCCTTGAACTTGTCAAAGTCTGCAATATGCTTACAATATTCTTACAATATTCTTACAATGTTATTGCAATGTTATTACAACATTATTACATTATTACAATATTATTGCAATGTTATTACAACATTATTACATTATTACAATATTATTACAATATTATTACAATATTATTACAATATTATTACAAAAAATTGCTTAAAAACTAATTTTATATTAGACTAAAAACTGAATACATATAAAAGCTTGAAGAAAGTGACACATTCATATTTTTTGAACCTCTCTACTACAAATGCCTCTATACTTTATGCTATTTTTCATTGTATCTTTTTATTTAGTTAATAATTATAACGATCTGATTTTAATTGTAACTTTGAAGATGCATTAAGTGTAATATATATATATATAGTTCATTTTTTGATGTAAATCAAGTGTATGCTAGGAGTAATATATATAAATAGATATTCTTTTGAAATATTATGAGTGCGGATAAAATAAGGTTATATTACGTATATAAATCAAGAATTAGAGTAAATTGGCAACTGTCATTGTTTTTTGTGCATGGAGAATTTCTATTGGTAGATATACATTAAAAAAAAATAAAAATTTGATTCTCACTCTGCAGACCCGGCCAGGATATGAAAACCGATTATACATTATAATATAAAACTAATAGCAATTTTTAATTCTTTATATTTTTATTCAAATTATTCAAATTAAATTTACTATATAAACTAAAATTTTAAGCTATATACAATATTTAAAATTTCTTGGCTATCATACGTACAACGTTTAAAAAAACTAAAATTTAAAAACTACTTGAATTTAAAAATTGGCTTGTAAATTATTTTTTAAAACATGATTACTAATTCGATATATATATATTTTTTGATTTCTTATTCGATATATTTTTTGATTATACTTTTAAAACATTTATAATTTTTAGTCATAAAAAATTACATTTATACAGTATACAGTATACAGTATACAGTAGATATACTGTACAATATGTAGTATAATTTAAAAAATTGACAACTTAAAAATTTTTTAATATAATAATTAAAAAAAACTTTTAAGTTTGCAAATAAGTGAGGCAATTATGGTAATAATGCTGAAAAGTGAAGTTATTATGGTAATAATGCTGAAGTAAATATTTCATTTAAGAAATAAATTTGATAAACAAAAAGTCAAAGCATTATAAGCAAGAATTTTTAATGAGTACAATGTCAGAAATTTTATGGGGAGTTACACGGAGTTTATTAATATGACGTTAATCCCCTGCTATAACTGAAACTGAATATGTCATGTTATGGACCATATGACAAGTATGATTAAATAGCACTACCATTGGCGAAAATATGTTATTTACAGTAAAAATAGGAAATTTCATTTTGTGAATAAATTATGACGAAATATTTTATGGAACATTTATAATTTTTTTATAGGTAAAAGGCATGGCTTGTGAATGTAGTACAAAACAATCTGATAAGTAAACATCAATGGGAGAATTGGGCGTCAAAAAAAAAAAAAAGAAAAAAAGAAAAAATGTGTTTAATCGGTTTAATTTCCAGTACATTTCGGAATTTTCCAAATGTTTAATGAATGACTTACTGCGTGATTAAATTTATGCGCATTTTTCGGCAAAGTCGGAGTTGTTTTGACAGAGCCGCAATTACATTATTGTAACATCACCAATAAAAGAAAATTCTATTTCTGCGCATATATGTCTGATAAATTTCATCAGCCAAATTATTTACTTCAACTATAGGATATTTTGTTAGATCAGATGGGATTCCTTTATTCCAAATAATAATGTAAAAATGATAATCGCAGAAAAAAAAAAAAAAAAAAAAAAAAAAAATTGATTATAAATCAATCAGATAATTATGTTTATTTATTTTACCCCATATTTTGCTTAATTTGGAATAAATATTTATTAGCCAAAGTGCTATATTACTTTTGTTTACGGTGGTGTACGTTGTTCGAGGGTAAAGGATTGGTGATTGAAATCATACAGTTTGGGCTATGTTCTCATCAGTCATACCCAAAACTTGATGAGTCTGAGGTCTGGTATTTGCTACTATTAGGTGTAATCTATATCATTTAAGAATCTTGCATGCTAGTTACAAAACTTATTGAAGAAAAGGCGGTGCGTATGTTCCGCAGTGGCACAATTTAATGTCGGACATGTATCAGATGATACCACGAAAAGAGTGTAAAATATGACAGGGGTGTTTATTTATTTGATCATAATTCCCGCCATAATTTGACACCAAATAACACTTTGCATAAAAGAATTAAAGAACACCTCGTGTTTTAGAATCAGGTGATTAATTCATCCACAATGATTTCCATCTTGCATGTGTATTTTTAAGGTGATATCTTTGTTTTTGATTATCCGATTAGCATATATATTCAATCCGATCATCAGGCTACGTAGTATGAATCATTGACATGAGAAATCGGGGGTACCCGTCTCGCTTTTACTATTCATGATTTTTTAAGAAGGAGGATAATCGAACCACATTTAAAAAACGAATCAGAAACAAATCAGAAACAAATTAGAAACGTATAAGGTTGTCTATTATTTCAAAGACTTGCCTTTTTTTTCTATACAATCTTTTAAAGTGGCTTCTCAGAATTTTTCAATTTATTAGATTTATTCAAAAAGATTAAATGTGTAATAATGTGTAATCATAACAACAAAAATAACAACTCAAGGACCACTTTTTATTTATATGAATTATATATATATATGAATTATATATATATGAATAACGTGAAATCATATTTATTTCTTAATAATATCGATATTGTTACCAAATATCCGAATTCGTTTTTTAAAAAAAAAAAAATAAAAAAAAACAAGTCAAAAAATTGACTGATACGAGAAAACCCACTTTTTTGAATTTTTCTATTTTTTCCTTTTTTTTTTTTTTTTTTTTTGTTACTTTTGTATTAATAAAGAAAAAAAATGTACAAATTAACGAAAATGGAATATAATTTTTTTTTTTTTGTAAACAAAAAAAAAAAAACGAGGGTGGTGAAAAAAATTTACAAATCTATTCAAAAAAAAAAAATGCTAGAGGATTATTCACAAAGAATCAATGTTTTTTTTCGTTTAGTTAATGCATTTATAAAATGTCTTTTTTTTTTTTTTTGTTTGTTATCGTTGCTTAGGAACATGATTTAATTATAATTAAGATGTTATTAGTGCGTGTTGTTCTTGCGAAAAAAAAAATCGTAAAAATTTAGTCGGAAAAAAAATTTTGTCATAAAGAACTATTGTAAAAAAATAGTTCAAACAATGCATGCATATAAATGCTTAATTGTTGTTAAATTTTTTTTTACATGATTATTATGACTATTGAATTATAAATTTGAATATTAGTTTAGAAGCGAGGGAAGTATAATACGCTAATTTTAAAAAATGTAAAGTGAAATCGAATTCGGGAACGTACGAATATTTTCGATGGGGGAGTATGTATATCGCCTACAGACCCATGTCGCGGAACATATAATTAGAGTATGGATACGAAAATTAGATATTTTAGTATTTCCTATGGAGGATCCGAGTTTGGTTTGTTGTCGAATTTTATAATTTTTATAATTTTTAAATAAAAAATATTAAAATCGACAGTTGTTTTTTTGTTTTTTCTTTCTCAATTTTTTTTTTCTTTCTCTTTTCCTTCCTTCCTCCTTTGCTTTTTTTTTTATCATTCGTATTTTGCTACATATTGTGAATATTGGTCATTTATAGGATAATCTAGCGAAGTAATTTGACCATTATAATCATATTCATCAAATTCAACATCAAAAGATCCAAAGTCGGTTGAACAATTATCGTACGTGTTCTGGACGTAGGAAAATTGGTGTGGCATGGAATTATCAATAAAACCAAATGTTTCTTGTTGAGAAGTATTTGTTGGACTTGCATAGAACATATGATTTTCAAAATCTCCATTAGTTCGGAACGATTGTTGATTTTGCATTGCCATCAATTGAGAGTCAGAGAGATAACCGTCAGCATCGGTTAATCCTGAGGGAATGCGTCTAGATCCTGACGCTTTGTTAGATGTATCTACAAGTAAATTATGTGGTAAACCAGGTGCGGAAACACGTCTGGTTGAGGCATCTCGTGCGGTAGTAGGAACTCGTCGTTTTCGTTCCTGAGGGCGTCGGGGCCTATATCGATATTCTGGGTATTTTTTCATATGTTCTTCTTTTGCAGCTTCTGCCATTTTTTGGAATTTAAGGCGTACTTCTAAAGGTTCTTCATGCCACATTCTGCCAATTTCCTTAGAGACATCATTGTTTGAAATTCCTTGATGTTGAGCAACAATTTGTGGTTGTTTGGCTCGACGATAAAGAATAAATGCATTTGGAGGTCTTGGAGGTTTCTTGATTTTACCATTTTTACCATTTGCGGAATTATCTTTCTTTGAGCCGGCAACTCCGCAGGGAAGAGCAAATGATGGAAGACGAACGTCAGAATCCGGAAGCATCCTTGAGACATTTGGAGCAGAGGAGACAGGCTTGGAGTTTTCCAACAAGTTGGTTACTGCAGAAGCTTTAGAGTCGTTTGGGACTAAAACTGGTTCAAAGCCATCAGGAATAAAATAGAAATGACCCTTTCGTTGTTCATAAAGATCTTGAACTCTGTCGTAAGAAACGTATTCAAAATGAGGGAGAATCCCTCCACTCTTGGGTGAGTCCGGAGTCAATTGAGACTCATCCTCATGTAAGGAATCATCAGCACAATCGACCTCTGGCTCAGTACAATTATTGATTGTAGATTGACGAACAGTGGGTATTGAAGAAGGTTGAATAGCAGGTGCCATATTTAATTGTTGCATTTTAATAAGAGGGTAATTTAGTCTCGTGGTGTGATGTTCAGCTGACAATATATTTGAAGGTTTGAGAACAGCTGTAGACATCAGATTTTGTTTTTTTTCAAAAAAAAAAAAGTATGAAAGAAAAATTTTGAATACGTACTTATATATATTTGCGTCAAAATATATTTTTTTTTTATTAAAATTATATTATACGTATAAATAATATATAAATATATATGAAATAAAGTAGTACAATATAAATCAAAATTTAGACTAATAATATAAATGTGATAAATGTAATAATCACGATTTTATTTTGTTTTATAAATTTATGTTATAATAATCTAAATGAAAAAATCTAAACGCATTGTGTTTACAAATAAGATTCTCAATTAGTCTGTGTGGAAAAAAACCTTTTTGACTTCCTGAGAAAAATTGTTTAACCAACACCACCTGCGAGATATATAATTTATATTGTACTCTAGGCAAATTATTAAAACTTATCTGCATACCTTGTAAATACATATATTTATTATATATACCTTGTATTTATACTTAGTATTTTACTTAGTATTATTCGTGAGCGAGACAAGATACCTACTTGAAACAATAAAATATCTCATGACTATGTAAACCATGTAAACCATGTAATAAACTATGTAAACTATGTAAACTAACTATGTAAACTATGTAAATCATAGTAAACTATAACTATGTAAACTATGTAAATCGTGTAAGCCAAGAGGCTAGCATTAACCTAGCATTAACTTATCATGAACGAAGCATAATAATAACCTAAACTACCTCTCAACAACAAGAAGAGACAATGGACCAAAAAATGATCACAACCTGATAAATTTAGCTTGATAGATTTTTTGGATAAGTGGCGGAACAGGTGAGTTATGCATGTTAAAACATTGCCTTTCGTTTTTAGAAGTATTTTGCGGAAAAGGAGTTTTTATCCTTTTATCGCAGACGAAGCGTAATGATAAGGTACGTATGTGCGTGTACAATGAAAAAAAAAGTATAAAACATCACAAAATTTTTTTTGTACCGCTACCATTTCTTGAAAAGTTATTATTAACAGTATTAAAGGAGCACCAATAATGAAGTTGAATCCTAACCTAGTTCATCCAGTTAAAATTAGTTAACTTTATTTTTTTGTCGAGATAAATCTCGATCCAAGACGCAAAATACTCGAGTTGTATGTCTGACATGTCTAGCATGTCTAGAAGAACCAAAATTTGATAAAATTTGATACTGTACATACTGTACGCACAGCCTTTTTCAATTATATGATCAAAGTTTATTCTATTACTATAGATTACTAACTTTTTGAAATTTACATATGTATCAAGTAGCATTTATTATTATATAATTAAAAATGTATATTTTTTATATATGTATGTATGTATATATATATAGTTAATACGTATCGCTATATCGCTATATCGTTATACGTATCTTTATCGCTATATATACCGTCTACTAGCATACATTTAGAGATATTTGATACACGATAGTCTCACCACAAGATTAACCACAAGATTAATTAATAAGAAATATATACATCAATATTAGTAGCCTTGCAAACAAGTTTTCACTTGTTTAGTCCTGACCTCTAGTGTGATTATCCGATATCAAGAATTAATTTTTTTATTTAATATGATTTACCAGACATATTGCATGATTTATTTTACCAATAAAATTTTAATTCCAATTGACGTTCTTGTTTACTTTGATCTTTATCGTTGTGCTTATAATATTTAATATTAAAAGAAAATTCAAATGTCTCCTGAAAAAGGATATATAAAATACTTTAGCTAATGATCACTAATCCATTTTCTCTGCGTAAAATGCTATATTAAAACATACCTTTTTAACATCAAATATTTCCTATATAAGAAAGATATTCTTTTTTTAGTGTTCCTTTTATATTCACGTCTTAACCAGTTTACATCTAAAAACGCAAAACAGATTGCTTTTTCTTTTAACTAAATAGATGGTCCGGTATCCACATTTTTACAGTTTTCGAGTTTTTTTTTTTCTGCAATGGAATGCAAAATCCGGCATAACCTTCCCAATAAATCCATTCATTAAAAAAAACAAAAAAGAAGACTTCTCTTCATTTAATGTTGACGCTTATGATAACCTGATAAAAAAGATTGACCCACAGTATATACGATTAAAATTAATCTCGTTTTGATCTAGCTCAAAGTTCTTGAATCTCAAGTTAAGCCTATCATCCCTGTTCTAAAAAAAACGTGTAGTTAAGCGTTAATTGGAATAACACTAATTGGCGCAGAGATTTTGAAATTATAAATGTGCCACATTTTTTCAGACTTCTTCTGACTTAATTATTTGAGGTTAGGTGTCAAGGGGATGGGAAAATACTTATATAATCGCCATATGATCTATGTATACGTATGCATTTATGATATGTATATATGATACGTATATATGATATGTATATATGATACGTATATATGATATGTATATATGTAATATAACGAATGATTATAACGAATGATTGATTTATCAACGACTTTTTTTAGAAGCACATTGGATATTTTTTGATGTGACCTAATTTTATCAAGTTTTTAAAACAACTTTGGAAAACAAAAAAAAACTAGCACGTTCCGGAATTTTTCAATGTAATTTCAGGAACTGGCTCGAACCCTTACATACTTCCAGTATAGCGTGAGTAAAAACGCCCGCCTTGAACGACGATCAAAAAAGTCGTTACCAAATTCTTCTCATGTTTGTCGAATTTCTATTCAGTAAATTCACATGTCTACTATGAAAATCACTGAACCCATAAATAAATGCTAAGAAAGTAATAGTTATTTTGGTGGCGAGTGGACGTTCACATACCTCTCGTCATTTAAATACGCCAACCGTCATCGTACTACCACTTTATTACTTTTGGAAGGCTTCTTTGTCAGAAAGCTGTTGCGGTTAGTCTGGAGCATTCTATAAAGTTGCCTATCTGCTAAAAATTGATAAGTCTTATGCATATTATACCTAGTTTTATTATATGTTAGTAAATCATTTCGTAATATATTTGCATATGACCATACTTAATACCAGCACCGATACTATATATTCTTAACGATCGTCATGTCATGTACATACGTAAATGTATACGTACGTACGTACGTATAAAGTTGTACTTTACTGTGTAAGTTATACAAACTATATATGCGTATATATACATATATATATGCGTATATATATATATACGTATATATATATACGTATATATATACGTATATATACGTGTATATGCGTGTTCTATTCTAGCATCGACATACGTAGAAATTGAGAATAACGTACACATGATGCTTGTAAATCTCTCATGACTTTTTTTTATTAGAAATGAACTGATTTATTAGCATTAACATTAGCGTTAGTGTGTTAGTGTTAGAATTTTATTTATTTTATTTTATTTTATTTTATATAGATTAGAATTAAGAATTACTATCGCTATTACGTATTGCTATCGTTATCACTATGTTTAGTGATACATTTCCTTCGAAAGAAAGTAACTTGAGAAAAAAAAATCGAGTTTTTGTTCAAGAATCACACAAGAATTTTAAAGTTCAGTGTTTTGTTATGCTAAGAAACTAGTATTCAACTCTATAGTCGATAATAACAAGCTACACAAATACTGAAGTTTTTAGGTTTAGACAATTTAGGAAATAACTTTATTGAAAATTACATTCTTTTTAGGGTCTGTTTTTTTTACTTATTTTTTTTAAATATTTATGATTATCTTTGATACATTAGGTATATACTTATAACGATAACGATAAAATCAAGTAAATTATTGATTTCGAATTTTTTGTACCAAAGTGCGCAATGTTACCTTCACGGATTAATCTAACTTGATTTGATATCATTTTTTCTTTTCTAAATTCTAGTAATTCCCAACTACTGTATCAATAATGAAAACCAGAATTCAATCAATAATCTCAAATCCGGGAAACAAGATTTTGGTCTTTAACTTATTGTATTACAAACTTGTTAAACTGAAAATTTGAAAAAATTTCTGTCTCTAAATTTACATTTTAAAAATATCTTGCATTAGGAAAATTGGCGGTTTTAATTTCAATTATGCTTAAATTGATTAACAAATATGAAGTTATCGAAACATGTAAGGTAATACTTGGAAACAAAAATTCCTTCCTATTCGTTTCATTTGTAAAAAATGCTTGGGAAAAGTTTCAAATGTTTTAAAAATAACTACCGTTATGGTCATCGTAAAAAAAAATCTAACGAATTTTGGGGCTTTGAATAAAGCCTCACTTCCCCTCCAGGATTACATAATATATTAATGGTTAAGCTTGTATCTTTGCGAGTATCGGTATTCGATAATGTATCTTCTTACTGTCATACATAAAGTATCAAACAATCACATTATTAAAAAAAAGGTTAGTGATATTATTTCCGTCGTTTACTATTCTATTGTGTTGTCTCGTCTCATTGTTGTCTCTTACAGATCAAAGTTTTTTTTTTTTGACCTTATTGACGACAATATCAATGTAATTTGCCAATTAACCTATTTTGGGATTAATTTAGTGTTCATCTTATGTATTAATAACCGATTCTCCACACAAATTATGACAATTCCGACGCATCATCGATTAAATCGGAAACCGTTATGTTTGAAGCTTTTAATTGCATAATGCTTCAAATTAAAGTTCTGTAACCCTATCCAAACTTAATAATGGCATATAATCAAATAGCCGAAAAAAAACAATAATGATCGATCGATTGTCCAAGTGTTTCGGCTATTTTTTGCATGACATGGTTAAAACATGAATTGTTCGATATCTGTAATATTACGTAAAATTTATTACAACTTAATTGTGAAGAAGTTTGTATGTATTGCTGATTTATCTATTTTCGCTAGACAAAAAACGTTTTTTATTACAATATGCACCTCATTCTATATAATTAGCGAAACTTTAATTTTTAATTTGATAGTAATAACGATAATGATAACGAAAATTCTCCCT